TGCGATTTGGAATTTGGTATTTGTCCAACTCTTTGTTTATTTATTTACCCGAGGGTGAACTGCTGACAGGGTTTGCGATGAGGGGCGATCCGAACGTGGCATTCGGGTGATCAGATCACCAACAACAAACCTGAATAAAACTAAAGCGACAAACAACCACCTCTCTCTCCGAACGCGCAAGCGCTTAGGTAGGTAGGTAGGAAGGTGAAGAACAGCCAGGCTCGGACTGGACACCAACGCGGTAAGCGCTTGGAGCAAGGGAACCAACTGCGACGTATCGATCGAGCTCGAGGCCTCGAGCAGAAAGTAACGGAAAAGGCGGCGCGGCACGGTAAGGGTCGGTGGTAAGGTGGCGCGGCGGCAATAGACGGCAGGCAAAACATCGAAACGGCTGAGCGTGGGCCGGAACCGGAGGACTCGGCCGCAGCGCAGTGTCGTTTTTGTTGTCGTGCCCGGCGCGCTCGGCGGCCGGCGCGTGGCGGGGTGTAGCACTGAAAGTGCAGCCTTCTGCAATGTGGCCCCGCAGGGTGAAATACACACGGGAGGCGGCGCCCTTGCTTCCCGCTGCCGCTGCATCGGGTGCAGGGCCTGCCGCTGCAGCGCCTCCAGGGCCTGCCTCTGCAGCGCCTCCAGCGCGTACAGGTTATCTCCCGAACCGAGCAGCAACCCCAGCTTTAGAGGCAGCTTCGAGCTCAGACTCCCCGCTAGCGCTGCACGGCGATGGGGAGGTGCCTTGCTGGGACAATGCGGCGCCGGAACCGGCTTGGCCCTTGGACGTTGTTGTCCATGAGATGCGTTCCAATGTGCGCCCTCACACAAAGGCACAACCCCAGACCCAAGATCACGCAAACAGACAGACACGACAGTCCAACCTCACACTCTCTCTTTGCCATGAGCGATCCCGAACCGCGGTGCAGGTTGTGCTGGCTCACATCGACCGCCTGATCTGGCGGATGCGACACAGCCTCGAAATGCTTGTGGTGATCCTCGGGTGCGAGTGGCGAGACGGAAGCCCGGTGGGGGTCGTGGCCGACAGGACCAGGATCGAACGGCAGTCTGTTGACCCTTCGGTCTTGACCCTCGCCGCTTCCGAGTACAGATCAAAAATGGGCTTGGCAAGTGCTCTTCATGACGTGAAGAGAGAAATTGTTCTCGGCTCGCCCTCGCGAATGTCGCTTGCCGCAGCGGAGAAGTTGATCAGCCTCTCCGAGCAGGCGTTGGTGAGCGAACGTGACCTCCTCCCGTCGCCGGCTCCCTCCCCGCCCGAGCAGCAGTACGAGCGTGCCGCCGCGGTCTCCGCCATCGGTGTTGCGTCCGCACTGCTCCTGGTCGTCGGGGGCGGGGCGTTCAAGTACGCGCAGGTACTCAACTACGTCGCCCCGCTCGTTTGCTCATTCGTCTGCCTCCTCTTCTTCCTGCTCTTCTGTGGTGTCGTGTTGAGCCCTGCGCTCGTCGGAAGAGCAACACCGGCCCCGGCGGCCACGCAGGTTGACCGGTTTGAGGTGGCTCTGCGTTCAGGTACGAGGGCCAGACCTATGCCTACCCGCCGATGATCTGCTACTGGGCGGTCTTTACAGAGATCACGACTGTGGTCTTCATCTCGTACTTTTCGCTTTTCCAGCCCACATGCATGATGGAGCTTAACACGGGCAATCCAGCGGGTGACCTTGGAGCCCTGATGATTACCGCAGTGGTCGTTTCGGGCATCCCCGGCGGTATGCTCGCCGCGGTCTGGTGGGCGGGCTGCCTATCCAGCGGAACCAAGGACAAAACGGTCGCCTACTTCATGGCCCCGCGCGTCGGGCGCACTACCACGATCCTGGCGATGGCCACGCACACATACCTGATGTTCTGGACGTACGGCCAGTTCTTCCTGTGGCATACATTCCCCATTTCGTCCCTCTGGCTGTGGTCCGTGCCCATCTCGATGGTCTACTTTGGCATCCTGTGGAACTCCATCCCGTACCTCTCTGACGGGCCGGCTACGTGCTTTGCCCACGGTTCGGGTGCGCTCATCGCGCTCGGCATTTGCACGACGCTCGCTGCGATGGTGATTTATATTGCCCGCTACGGCTGCTTCATGTTCCCGTGCCTCTGTGCGCCGGACGTGCCGGGATGGGTCTTCTTCCCTCCCTCTCCGGACCTCTCCAACCCAGCTGTGGCGGGCGTGTGGGATCACAAGCTCCTGTGCCTCTTCTTGGAGCGCGCCGCCGAGCTGCTCTGGGACCCGGCGGCCGCGCTGAGCCGCGAGTGCTTGTGGGAGCCCGAGGAGGCCGAGTACCGGGGCTTCACGTGCCCTCCACAGCCTGAGGCACGGCCGACGGCCGTCACCCGTGTCACTCTGCTCCTTTTTGCCTCTGTAGGATGGACGGGAGGACGTACGTCACATCCTTCCCGCTGGACACGTCGGCTTATCCGCGAGGAATGCACACGGGCGTCGGCATGGCCAACGATATAGGCCAGAAGTTGGCCGAGCTGGAGGCCGTCGTCCTCTAGAGCCTGGGGTGTCGACGGGCCCCCGGGGGCGACGGGGGTGCTCTCGCGGGGGGTCCCCCCAGTCGAGGGGGTCTGGGGCGCAGCCCCAGGTACCCGCCGCAGGCGCCGAGGGGGGGGGGGCGAGATGATGAGGGGAGTGAGGCGTCGGCAGGGGCTACCATATCACCCACGGGACCGAACCCACACTGGGTTCGATCCTCTGGAGGTATGGTAGGCCTGAGCGCGTCCTCTCCACCGCGGGGGGAGGGGGCATATGTGCAGGCCCCCCAGTACGGATGTCGGGACTCCTCGCCACCCCCGGAGGTCCACCGGTGTGAAGGGGTACCCGCTGGGGGGTACCCGCAGTGTCAATCCGCCGAGTGTGGGTGGGTGGACTGGGTGGGGCACGCGACGGGCACGGCGCTACGCGTCGCCTCCTCGGGCGGCACGCCGTAGCCGTCGCACACGCCGCAGGTCGCGCGGCAGACGCGGGAGGCCAGAGAGGGCGCGGCGGCACACACGCCGCGGCTGTCGTCGGAGCAGCCTGAGGAGCCATTACTGAGAGCGCTCATGGGGGGGGAAGAACGGAAGGGTCAGAAGGCGTGGCTGTCGGCGGAGAGCAGCCTGCGACATCACTAGGAAGTGTCTAGGAAGTGTCTAGGAAGTGTCTAGGCGGAGAGCAGCCTGAGACGGTGTCGACACACGGCGGCAGAGCGGGCGGCAGCGGCGGACGCGCTGGCGGCGACGTGGCGGTGCAGCATCCTGCGCACGCGTCTCCGCAGAGCAAGGCAACCTCCTCACAGTGCTGTCCGATGCGCTGCATCTCCAAGCAAGTCGCGCGGCCGCACATCGCGCGACACGCCGGCGGGGCTGCCTGGGGCGGCGGGTGAGGGGCTGGCGGAGGAGGCCGCGTCGCCGCCGCCGCTGCTTTGTCCGTCAGCCTGCCAGGCTGTTGCTGCTGCTGCGCGCTGACACGCGCTGGGCCGTTGCTGCCCAGGCGCTGGTACTCGTCCTCCGCGCCGGGCATGGACAGCCCGGAGCCGGCGAAGCGGGCCTTGTGCAGCGCCGCACGGCCAGCGTCGGTCAGCTCGTTGCCGAGTAAGCCCAGCGTCTCGAGGGCGGTGTTTCGCTCGAGCGCAGCGCCGAGGGCAATGGCGCCGCGGTCTCCGATCGCGTTGCGCTCGAGGTAGAGCGTCGCCAGCCCCGAGCCGGGCGAAGATAGCGCGTCGGCGAGGGCGACGCAGCCCTGTCCGGCGGAGGCACGGTGTCGGAGATTGGTGAGGCGTCTAGTGGCCGTGAGTGGCCGTGACCATTGGCACACACCTCGTCGCCAATTCCGTTGTTGGAGAGGTTCACCTCTACGACGTTCGGGGCGCCACCGCCAGCTGCCAGTGATGCAGCAAGCACCTTGACTCCGGAGTCACCAAGGCCAGCGTCGCTCAGGGAGAGCACGGTGCAATCCTTGAGCTTGAACGACCAGCCGGGTGCCCATGGCAGCCTCCTCCCGACGTCTTTGATTACGCACTCCTTGGAGAAAGCGCCACCGAGCAGCAGCGTCGTGAGGCCAAACGTGGAGAGAAGGCGGCATAAGCTGTGTCCTTCTGTTTTCACGCTGCTCAGCACGCCCGCCGGTTAAGCTGCGGTGCAAAACTCTTTTTACCACCTTCAAGTACACCCCCAAGACTCCCCAAAACCGCCCAGGATGAGCTCCTGAGGTGCCAGTCCGCCCGAGATATGACCGGTTGAAGTTGGGGTTCCACGGTCAGGATGGAGGTGCTGAACTGGATGGGGGTCAGCCAGGGAGGCTGTTGTGGCGCACCGGACCGCCCCCCAGCACCGTGCCCCACCCAACTGCATCCATGGGAGTCACAAACGGTGCTACACTCGCGGCTGCAAGCACTCACGACACTCAAACCCACCACCTGCCTCCTACCCTGTACGAGGAGCCATTTCACCCGTGCAACATCTGCACAGGTGTACCGCCGACGCTCAAGCGCCTGGCCCCTACTAGAGTAGTCTTGTGGGACCCACAAACGACCAATACATCCACTCGGGGCTGCAGCATGTGTCCGGGGGGGGCATCCCCGTGAAGCAGCCAGCAGGTGCCGGACACGGCGTTGGCCGTCTTGGACCGAGATCAGGGCGCAACTGCCTATCTCGTGGGGCTGAAGGACCGTCATGGGGTCGGCTTTGATGCTGCCAATCAGTCGGGTCGATAGGTGGCGCCCCAGCGAGATGCGTTGCGGGTGCTCGGCGTCGCCTGCTTGTGTGGCCTGAACGCACTCGCCGGAGCCAGAGAGCAAAGGTGTGCGCGAATTGAGGCTTCTGAGCGAGTCCAGGCAAGCCACAGGACCGGCCATGTGCCTTGGTAGTCGAGCGGTGGCCGGAGGTAGCCTCCAGTAGTGCCTCTCAGTTCGGCACCTCGGTCTCGACCACGACCAGACTGGGAGAAGGACACAGCTTATCGGACCAAGGCGCAAGTGCTGGATTCAAGGAGAAAAAATAGGCATTTTTTTGGTAAAATTACAGTGTGAAAAGAGAGAAAAGAAAGCGCGCGCAGCGCGCGTAAGCGGCGCGCAGCGCCGCCGCAGGCGGGGCGCAGCAGGGGCGCAAAATTAAACGCCATTTTCGGTTCCGCGGTTTTGCCACTAACATCAAAATCCGGTATAAAGCACTCAAGGGGCGCCGCGCTGGGCCCCTGGCGCCTCTCACTCTACGGATGCCAACCAATCGGTTGCATCATGGTGTGAACCCCTTCTGAACCCCTTCTGACCCCCTTCTGAACCCCTTCTGAACCCCTTCTGAACCCTTCTGAACCCCTCCCTCACTCCGAAGGCGTGCCATATACTCGAGTACTATCTATGAGCCCCCTTCGCGCTTTCGCCGCCGCTTCTCCTTCTCCTCCTTCGCCCGTTCCTCATACAGTCGCACGGCAGTCGGGTCGCCCGCATCGTATAAACGCCGTTCCTCCTCCCGTTTCCTCTTCTTCGTCTCCCTCGCCCGTTCCCGCCAGCCGTCACCCCCCGGCACGACCGGCGCTTGAGCGGCGGAGGCGGAGGCGGAGGCGGAGGCGGAGGCGGAGGCGGAGGCGGCGGCGGAGGCGGCAGCGGTGGCGGTGGCCGGACGATGCGATCGCCTACGGCGGCGTGGCTGCGGCGTGGGCTGCCCGCCAGTTGACGACGAAGCAGCAGGTGGGGCACCGCTGGCGACGCCACTCGCACTTCCGCCGGACAACCACCGAGTGGGCGAGCCAATCAGCGAGCTGAAGGACCAGCGCGCGAGAGGCGACGATTGGCCGTGTCCGCTCGACGGCTGCATCGGCGTTGCAGAACCTGCTGGCGACGGCTCTCCACTCGACTGCGACGGCTCTCCACTCGGCCTGATGCCGGCCGGCTCTCTCTGGACAGGGTGGCCCGCCACAAGGACCCCAGGAATTGCGACTCGCCGCTTTCCTCCCGCTGTGATTCTGTGTGAGCTCTGTGTCTTGATTTGCCAACAATATACCAAGAGTGGAAATCCCGTTGTCAGCTGGCACGATGCGCCCGAAGGGGACCCCAGCGCCGGCATCATCCGTGGAGGTACAAGTGTCCGAAGAGAGAGTGGACCTGAGCAACGATATGACTTGGCGGCAAATGGTCGCAGTGGGCGTCAGAAGAGTCGTCCTTGCGCGAGGAGAGCTCTCGATAAACTCGAGGGGCGAGGGATATGCTGCGAGGAGGGCAGAGTTGCGCCGAGAGGCGAGGGCAAGGGATCGGCAGGCAGCGGCGTCGTCGCAGAACGAGGCAGAGGAGAGCGAAGCGACAGAGGAAGAAGTTTTGACCGCGCGTTGCTTAATATAGGCGCAGTCTCGCGACCCATCAGTCGACGGCGGCAGCCACTTCTCCTCGGGCCCTAAGTCGCCCGGCGCCATGCCGCCGTCCCCGGGAGGGGTCAACTACTCCTCGTCGCACGGCGGGCGTTACCTCGCTTCTCACTCACTAATGAGCTCCTCATGGACGAGTTAGGTGCCGCAGCCGTAGCCGCAGCCCCAACTCGCGCCGCTCTTCTAGTGTGTCGGGGAGTGACCAGGACGACGACACCACCGAGATCATGTCGCGCATGGACACGGACGGCTCGGGCAGCGTGGACAAACCAGAGTTTGTCAAACTGCTCACCAGCATCCTGGAGGAGTACGCGGCGGCGTGAGGGCCGTGAGCCAATGTGGCACATTCCTTAGTTAGTTCGTTAGAGAGTTTAAGACACATGACCATGACTGGACGCCAGGCGGTAGGGGGGACCACATAACGCATAAAAAGAAAGAAATAAAGAAAGAACACAGACACGCCAAACGAGGGATGGGACGAGGACCCTGCAAAAGAACTGGGGAACCCAGCTGGTTTTCTTCTTTCTGGCGGCATGAGCGGCGCAGCGAGCCCAACTCTGCTGCCCGATCTGGCAGTGGGCGAGCTGGGCTCGCTGCTGGCCCTGCTCTCCTGCCGGCGGACGCGCGGGAGGCTCAACGCGCGGCTCGACACCGACACGCAGGACACGCTGCTCACCTGGGCCGCTTGCCACGGGCAAGCCGAGGCGGTGCGGCTGCTGCTCGAAGCCGGCGCGAGCGTCGGGGCGGCGGACGGCGAAGCCGCCTCCGCTCTCCTCCTTGCGTGCGAGAAGGGCCACCTCGAGTGCGCCCGGCTGCTCCTCAAGGCCAACGCGGCGGTCGATCAAGCCATGAACGATGGCTCCACGCCGCTGCTCATGGCGTGCCAGGAGGGACAGCTCGAGTGCGCCCGGCTGCTCCTCAAGGAAGGCGCGGCGGTCGACCAAGCCGATAAGGATGGCTTCACTCCGCTGTTCGTCGCGTGCCAGTATGGCCACCTCGAGTGCGCCCGGCTGCTCCTCGAGGCCAGCGCGGCAGTCAACCAAGCCGCAGAGGACGGCGCCACGCCGCTGTACATCGCGTGCGCTCGGGGCCACGTCGAGATCGTTCGACTGCTTCTCGAGGCCAGCGCGGCGGTCGGCCAAGCTAGCACCAGAGGCGTCGCCCCGCTGTACATCGCGTGCCAGATGGGCCACCTCGAGATCGCCCGGCTGCTTCTCGAGGCGGGCGCGGTGGTCAGCCAAGCCGCGGAGGACGGCGCCACGCCGCTGTGCATGGCGTGCTGGAAGGGCCACGTCGACATCGCCCGGCTGCTTCTCGAGGCCAGCGCGGCGACCGACCAGGCCGGTGAGGACGGCGCCACGCCGCTGTGCATCGCGTGCAAGCAGGGCCACCTCGAGGTCGCCCGGCTGCTTCTCGAGGCTGGCGCGGCGGTCGACCAAGCCAGGGAGAACGGTGCCACGCCGCTGCTCATGGCGTGCCACTTCGGCCACCTCGAGGTCGCCAAGCTCCTCTCCTCCTACGGCGCCTCCCGCGCCGCCGTGCCGCCCTTCGGCACGCCCGAGGAGGCCGCAAACAGCCGCGGCCACGCCGACCTCGCCGCTTGGCTGGTCGCCAGCCGCGGCTGGACGCCGCTCGCGCACCTTGAGAGCCTCACCGCCGCCCGCGCCCTCTCCCTGCTGCGCAGCGGCGCAAGCCTGCACGAGGGCGAGCCGACGCCGCTGCAGCGCGCCGCGGGCGGCGAGGGCGAGGCGGCGGCGCTGATCCTGCGGGCGGCGGCGCCGTGGTCGCCGGCAAGCCACTCGCTCTTCCCCGCGGCGGCGCGCGCGCGGGCGGCGCTCCTCGTCGTCTCGCTCTACGAGATCCACGAGCGGCACCATCTCGACTCGGCAGGAAACACGAACGGCATCGCAGCGCGCGATTTTGTCACGTGCGTGCTGCGCTTCGCGATCACGCGCGAGACGCTACAGTAGCGTGGCGCGCGCGCTCGCACTGCTGCGCGCGGTGGCGCGAGGCGAAGAAGAGCCGGTGAGTGCAAGGCTCAGGACTCGGTTTTTTCATGGGGTATGAGGTATCGGCGTTCGGTGGGGTCGCAGCGCTGCGCCCGGTGCTCTGCACTGCATCTGCAGAGGTGTGTGTTGCACGTCTCTCTCTGAGTCAGTAAGTCTAGTGTGTGTTCGGAGCGGGCTGTCAAATTGGGCTGTGTCGTTCTCTGGGGTGGCGCTGGAGCGAGACTCGTCCCAGTGGATGTGTCCGATTTCCGACGTCCCTGACCCTGGCTAGTTCCATTTCACTCTGACACGCTAATCTTGAAAACGTCCAACGGAGCTCCGTGTTGCTCCCAGCGCCCTCCCCCGCGCTTCCTGCGGCCATGGCCGATGATACTAGTATGAGAGGTCATCTGGCTACCGCGAGCGCGACTCAACTCGCCGACGTCGTCCGATGATTGTGCCTCAAAGTCAGCCTCCGGAGGCTATCGTGGGGTCGAGCCGGCAGTAGCCGTGACATGTGGTTCCACCACCCCTCGCAGGCTTTGCCTCTGACCGCCACCGTTCCCAGGCTGCCAAATGGGATGGAAAGGAAGGCTCGGCGAGCGTATAGAAGCGTGCTCGACCTCGTCGTGGCAACCTGCACGGCAGCGCTGGTAGGCGCGATGAGCGTCGTGCCACCTGACCCGAGACGGGTCGCAGGCGTCGTACCGAGCGCGTCGAGACCGTGTCCTGATGTGATCTGCACGGGTGAGTCACGTCGGCGTCAAAGGAGCGACGTGCGACCTGTCAGAGCTTGATCTCCGATCTCAGCGGCGTCGAGTCGTCTCCGGCGCGCGACAAAGGTACATCCCCAGGACGCGCAGAGGCAGCTGCGACCCGGGGGAGTGGACGGACAGGTCGCACGTCGCTCGTTTGACGCTGACGTGAATTACGCGTGCAGATAACATCAGGACACGGTCTCGACGAGGTAGGTTTGTCGCGTGAGGCCCGTAATGGGTGAGGTGGAACGCCGCTTATCGCGCATAGAAGTGGAGCTGTGCTGAACGTAAAGCGGAGAACGAGGTCGCTTGTCTTCGTCCCTCGAGAACCAGCTATGAACTGTGGTCCCTGGGGGCCCTGGGGGATCCCTCGTGACGTGGTTGACATAATTTGACTTTATGGATTATGCAAATTAAACCAGACGCCCACTGAGGAGCCTCCT